TGAGGGCAATGAATGTACAAATGTGCTTTACACAACTGCTGTATGTATGGACTGTGATAAGAGTTATATGAGCCCCTAATACAACGATTAAATAAGTCATATTTAATTTTGTTTTTTTCCAGATTTCAAAAATATCAGATAACACTTATATCATACTTTACAGCTAAAATTATGAACTGTAGAAGTAATGAACCATAATTATAAACAGCATGCTATTTTAAATATTTAAACCCTGTGACTCAGTTAGTTTAGGCATCTAAGGTCAAAATTCTCAAGGGTTGCTAGAATGATTGGGGGAGGGCCACTGCAAAAGTAGCTATCTACATTTTGTCCTGGATTATGGGTTACAGTACAAAAGTTTTTAATTGCCAGGGGAATGTGATTTTTTTTTTTAGTTTTTCCTGAAAAGTGGACAATAGACCAAGATTGGGACTTAGGATTGAAGGTATTCTAATGAATTTATTCCCTAAGCCCTAAGCATGTTATTTTAAAATACTATTTATGGAAATCCACTACAGATAAAAGCAAAATACTAAAGTGAGAGTCTAAAAATTTAATTGGGAGGGGGGGGAAACTGTTTAAAAAGCTAAAAAACTTAATCCTATGGAGACAGCAGAACTGCCAGTTACCATTCTGAAAATCATTTATAAAAATCACACCTGCTCAGGATAGAATTTTAATAAGCAACAACAGTCACATCTGCATTAGCCCATGTTACCACTACCTTCCTTTTATTGCTTCTCCTATGGGAATAAAGAAAAAAGAAGTAGAAAGTGCTCGGTCATATTTTTAGGAAGTGTATACTTTGGTCCAAAAATCTCCAAAAGATCTTCCTCAAAATTGTATTTGCCTATTTATCGAAGATAATTTTTTTAGAAATATAACATAAAGGCACATTTCACTTACCGTTGGGGTAGAAGTCTATCGTTAGCTAGGTAGCCTGGTTTGTGGATCTCTTTATTATAGTCGCCATACTTGGCTTGGACAGCATAAGAAGCCAAAAGAACTGCCGTTTCTGGTGGGCAATATATCTCATCATTTAAGATGGCTTCTTTAACTTGTAAGAAGAAAAGTCTTTGGGTTATTTCTTGAATTAATTCCTCAGAAACATCTTCAGGGAAGAATTTAGCTCTGAACTTGAACTGTAGAGGATTCTCTTTTTTAACATCTTGCTGTGTCACCTGGAACAGTAATTTCAAGTATGATCAGCAAAAATATTAGTTTAATAATTTTATTTAATCACCTCAAATTCCTTTTAGAAGTGGGCATCTAACTAAATCAATGTATACACACGGATATACGAGGGATACTCCCCCCAAAAGTGGATTTTTTTTTTCAAAGCTATGTATTTTTTTTTTTTTACAACACAACCTTCTCACCTTCAAAGTACTCCCCATTGCACTTAATATGTTTGTCCAATCTGCGATTCCATTCTTGGAAACATTTTTCAAACTCATCTGTTTGGATGGCTGACAGCACCTCCCTCGTTTATTTCTTCACTTCTACATCATCAAATCACTGTCCTTTCATGGCCCTCTTCATTTACAGAAACAAAAAGAAGTCACACGGAGCAAGGTCAGGTGACTAAGGTGTGTGGGGCAAGAGAGGCATGATGTTTTTTGCCAAAAACTGGTGCACTGAGATGGCTGCGAGAGCAGGTGCATTGTGGTGGCAAAACCAGTCCCCCATCTACCACAAATCAGGTCTTTTTGTCGCACACTGTTATCAAGCTTTCTACTTAGAGGTGCGGAAAAGATTGCATAACAGTCTGACCTGGTGGAATGAACTCCAAATGCACTACCAGTGGACATTTCCAGCCGTTTGGCAAGGTGACAGACGTTTAAAGCAATGTTTGTCATCAATCGACATTTCACCTTTTTTGAAACGAGGAAACCACTCGTACAGTTGAGTTTTTCCCACAGCGCTGTCCTTGTAAGCTGTGTTCAACATCACAACAGTTTCTGTGGCATTTTTCCTGAGCACAAAACAAAATTTCACAGCCACATGTTGTTCTCTTAAATCGGCCATCCAGAAAAACGAGGTTCGAGTGAACCTGCTTTTACAGAAAAATTCAGTGACCAAAGAGAACCTTCCCAGGCAGCACCAACTGAGTGTACTAACTCAGAGCAAGTTGCTCAATGCTCACCTAGCGGCTCCTACAGAGGCTCCACTCTGCCCAGTGCAATTCCAGCTTTTGGGGGGTACCACGTACATAAGTGTACACATCCAGATGAAAAAAATACTATGCTGAATTTCATGATTTGACCTATTAACTCACAAATCCTATCTAATAACTAACTTGATGCTTATCTTCACATTCCTGGTAATCTTATCCTGCAAATGCTTACCTCAAGGTCAACATACTATATGTAATACTTGATTTTAAAAGTACTTAAGTGTTAAGATTTCAAGTAGAAAAATAAGTCTTTTTGCTATGATGAAAATTTGATGGTGTCTAATGAAAATAAAGCACATGTTTACCTCCCAATGATTAGCATATAAAAATGTTTCTATTTAAAAAAAATTTTTCCAGCAAAATCCTACGAACTTCAAATTAACTTAAGTATTAATGTAAAATCAAAGTATATTACCTTTTTATTTAGTTTAAGCCAAGTAGAATAACCTTTGCTATCCACGTATTGCAGCCCAAAAAACCAGACCTCACGCAAGCCAACTGTTTTCACCACCTTTAAAAAAAAGGTAAACTTAGTTTAACATTCACATTATAACTAGATGACACTGTACTTCAAAAGAAAACAATTACATAGACATTAGAGGTATGTTCCTTTACCAGAGAAAGGAACCTTTCTAAATTCAACATGCTAAAAAATTTAACATTTCTAAAAACTCATATTTAGGTTCTAGATAATAAATTTTGCAATTCCACTTCAATTCCAATCTGAACTACTTTTTCATACTTCCCTTTCTTCACCCATAATGACTCCACAAAGAACAACACTCTGGAGAATCGATAGACAGCCGTCATATTTTCACTTTCCTGTTTCAAAATACTACAACTACCTAAACAAATATTTTGCTCATAAGGAAAGGATCCCTGAACACATTTCAATGCCACACCCCAAGTTCTGCACCTGGTGATTTCATCCTCACATCCTTTCATTCTCCCTATATTTTGTGTTATATCAGCATTCTTGAGTCGTCTATAAACTCTAATATTCCAACCCTCTGCTCATGCTATTTCTTCTCCCTAGACTCTTTCTTCTATATTTTTACCACTCGTTGAATAATTTGTTCTTTTAAGTCCAATTCAACTAACATGTCTTCTGGAAATGAAGCCTTTACTAGCTTCTTAATAAAAATTAATCACTTGTTTTCTAATGAGCCCATGATACTTTATCTACATGTTTATTAGAAAATTTATTCTACCATAGTTAATTTTATTATTTATAAGTATAACATGTTTATTATTCATGTATTTATCTTCCTTGACAATATAAAATTTAAGTACAGATGCTGTTTTCTTACTCATCTTAATATTTATGTCATCTCACAGAATGCTAAGTTACGTTAGTGCCTTCAAAGAACTAGAATAAACAGAGAGGTGGAAACTAGAACTCACACCCAGGGCTGTACCTACATTTAGCAAAATATTTGAAAACGAACAAAACCCTGTATTTGAAATGTGAGAAATGGCCCAGGAGATAGTTTAATATTTTTACACCTTAAGGAAAAGATTTTATATTAGTTCTTACATGATAAACACTGTTTATGTATTCTTCCTGTCCATAATTTTAGTTCAAAATAACATATGACTTCATTATACTTCCTATCAAAATTGTAAACTGAAATGATATCTATATATAATTTAAAAGAAAAATATTAAGCTACGGTAGGGAAAATGACAGTTTACTTGGTATTTGAGATTTTTTTTTAAGAGAAGGAATTTATAAAAGGTCAAATACAAAGAAGATCACAGAAAAAGGTGAAGCTAGAGAATATGTATAAAGCAAACAGTTCTAAGACTATTCTAGCATGTTTATTTCTACTTGAGTAATAATAAAATCCTTCATATATGTTTACCCAGACACCATGAATTTGCTAACAGTGAGTTAAGGTCAAAAGAGATGCTTTTTAAATATTTGGTTTGCTCTATTTTAGTATTTCTGGGTATTCTTTGTTAAAAGAGGGAAAATCTAAAATTAAAATGTCAAAATAGTTTGTTGTCAAACAGAATGTCAAACTGGTGATTTTTGTGAACTACAAAGTGTTCATTTTTAAAGAGTAAAGATGTAAATACCAGGGCCCATGTTTTGAACCATTAGGCTTTACTCCACTATAATGAACGGTACTTCATTTTCCCTGGTGTCCAAATTAAAACAATTCTACTCAATAAATTCAGCAGCCCAGGTAGTGTAGTGGTAACTTGTTGGGCTGCTACAGCGAGGTTAGAAAGTTCAAACCCACCAGGTGTTCCAAGGGAGAAAGACGAGGCCTTTGACTTCCATAAAAAGTTATAGTCCTGGAAACCCACAGGGCAGTTCTACCTTTTTCTGTAGGGTGACTATGAGTCAGAATCAACCCGGTGGCACTGAGATTCCATAAATAAACATTTCCTTTCTTAATATCCACCAAGAAGTCTTCACAGCTGGTGAGATTCTGGGTACCACATTCTGCTCATTTCTAATTGCTAAGTGAACAATAAATGCTAACTTCATTAACATTTTTTCTATACATTTAGAATATGTTTACAAATAGGAGGCCTATCAAAATCAAGAGAAATGAGTCGTATAGTTCAGAGTAAAATATAACGTATGGTGCACTAAGCTGCCTGTAATTTTGCTTTTAAAAACTTGTGAACACACCTCCAAAAAACATCCAAAGAGACCTTCTCAAAAGCTTTGAAAGGCTATTAACTACCTAATCAGGAGATGAAGAATACCATTGTCAAGAGAAGATAACTTTTCAGGAATTTTAAATTTTCATTGCATTAGGCTGGGGCCAGTGTGAGCTAGAATGACACTGGGGAAATGAGCGATCCAATATATCTATCATGCAAATGCCAAAAATGCTGCTGCTGCTGCTGCTGCTGCTGCTTCCTCGTCTTCTTCCCGCTCCCTCGTCTCCATCTCCTCTGTCCTCTCCGCACCCCCCTCTAAGTCTCACCACATCACCAGAGACCTTTGCCTTTGCTTTCAGGCTCTTGCGTTTAGCTTTATTCCTTCTAAACCTCATGTGCCATGTGACACATATTGACCTTCCTCTTTCCTCTGCAATCATCTCTTCAGCTTTTTAATGTACATGACCTCTATGCAACAATCACTACTTTTTCTCAATAAAACTTGATTACAATAGTGATTCTTAACCCTGATTTAACATTCTTATCGGGGTTAAATAGGAATTGACTTAATGGTAGTGAGTTGTGTTTGTTTGGTTTGGTTTGGTGGCAGGGCAGTGAGAGGGGGCGGTGTTTAAAGGAGCCCTGGTGGCTAGTGGCATAGTGGGCTACTCATTGGACTGCTAGGTCAGGAGTTTCAACCCACTAACCACTCCGTGAGAGAATGATGAGAGTTGCTTTTCCTGTAAAAACTGCCAGCCTCGGAAACCCCAGGGAGCAGTTCTACTTTGTCGCAGAGGGTGGCTACTAAACAGAATGGCAGTGGGTTTAGGGAGGCTTTAAAAAAAAGGACTAATTGTCTAAAGTAGGCCCCAGACAATTGAATCAAAATCTCAAGAGGTGGTTTCCAAGCATTGCCTTTTTAATTTAAACTCTACAGGTGATTCTAATGTGTACTCAAGATTGAGAAAGCCAAGACCAGAACTCTAAGTTCCATAAGCATTGTAATCCTCGCACATTTTAAGCCTATGACATCCTAACTGCTACTACCTGTCTGCTTACAATAAGTCCCTGTGTCGGGTTACCAGGAATCAGAATCAACTCTGTGGCAGTGAGATGGGTTTTGTTACACTCAATCACATTCATGGATATATTTCCAGCAAAAGTACAAATACACACACACACACACACACATAGTGAGCTTATTCCTACTCTCTTCCCTACACACCCAGTCAGCTTGCATATTATCCATGCATCTACTTGTAGATCACTGTTATTTGCAGGATTCTGTATATTAGCAGTATTTAATTTTCTTGCTTTTAACTCTTGTACTCTTCCCCAAAGTCTCACTTTGCCTCCATATTTTACTATCTCCCTCTTCTTGTCTATTGGCTTCAAGGACTATGTAGAGTATGTATGTAGAATATACCTGTATCCCTTGCAGTTTCCATTACAATGACCAGCATACCCCAACAAACAAAACTCCCTGTCATCGAGTCAATTCTGACTCATGGCAACCAGAGAGCAAATGTTAAATACCTGTTTAATAATTTTAAACCATTTTATCCCACAAATCTAGAAATAACAAAGACTGTATAGCTGTTTAAGACACCCAAGGAGGTACTATGAGAAACATCCAGTGTTACCTTATTGCACTATTAGTAAAAGTGTAACAAGAATACGTAGAAGGAAGAATGCAACAGCATCCAAATTATGGTGCTATATAAACTGCATCTTTCATGTGATTAAAGGATACCTGGTCAAAGAGTTGTTTGCCAGTGGTATTAGGCTGAATGGCAAATTCCAGCTCAGCATCCATTGTAGTTACCCGGACATTGATCTGTAATGCAAACAAAAGGGATTATGAGTAGGTAAGACAATGTGCTTATTAACTATTAGTCATGAGAAAGTACTTTTATTTGGTTTATAAAATAAAGTGGGATAATACACAAATAAAAAGCAATTCCAAAATTGTATAAAATACTTTATTAAGATAATAAAATCTGATTGTAATCATGGAAACCTTAAATCTAAGAGCTTATGAAGTTCTTTAAAAATATCTATTGGCTATATAATATGTACTAAACATTAAGTCACAGGCTTTCTATATTCTCACTTATGGAAACAATATTAGGAAATGCTATGTATATTTCTATAGAAACTCTGACTTTCCACTGTCTGCCACAGGACACATAGATATCAAATAGCAGAGGATTTTAACTAAGCTCTAACTTCCATTTTTTAAATTCCATTCACTATTTCACAGTTTTTCCATGCAAAAGTCAGGTGTTAAATTTTATTCATACCGCAACATAGTCTTCAATTTATAAAACATTCAAACATTCTTCAATTTATAAAAAACATTCAAAGACAGGTCATTACTTGCTAAACTGCTTTAAATAATAATTTCCCACATGAATACCTTCCAAGTTGGATCTCTCTCTACAAGAACTTAACATCCTAACCAAAATATTTTTCTACCCCAAAGTAGCATCAGTTCATCAGTTTCCACAGTCCTAACACCACAATTTTGACATTCTAAAAGTATTTACAACTGAAGTTTAATAAACTGCAAACAAAATCTGACGTGAAGTAAAAAACTTTCACTGCCATTTAGTTATTCCAACTCATAGGACAGAGTACAACCACCTGTGGGTTTCCAAGACTAGATCTTTTTGCTAAGTTGTGCAAAATAAAAACAAAACTTCAAGATTTTGAAAATTGTTTTACTAACTGCAGACACACGTGTCCTAGGGTTTTTCGAGGATGTAGCTACATAATCTTTTCTTTCTTAAAGAGATTAAGCCTATGGCTGGTGGGTCTAACAACTCCCAAAGCAAAATAACTTGCCAGCTTGGATAGAAGTCAGAAACCAGATAGAGGGAAAGGCAATCTGGCTGCCTCTTGGAAACCCACAGGGAGGAAAGGTGGATAGGGGCCAAAGGTGCTACATTTGTCCTCTAGGAGGAGGGAAAGACCAACTACTCCTGCAGCAGCTTGGACATCAGTGGAGCCGACTGCAGGAGTCTGGGAAGTACGTCGCTTGACCTGAGAGTGGGGCCACAGTCTCGTAAGTTTCAGAGTTTTATCTTTTCTGGATGATGGTCATCTCCGCTATGGAGTGTGGTTCTGGCATTAATAAGGACCAGACAGGTGGAGCTGGTGCCCAAAGCTGAGGAGGTAGGGCTGCCATGCCCACTGGGTAGAGGATGGGGTTGCCAGAAAGCTGAAACTGCTCAAAATTTTAAGAGGCGGCTGTGTCCCAGTAAGCCTGGAGGGCATAGTTGAAGCCCAGAAGCAAGAGGCCTCCACGCAGAATCCAGAGATGGTAACCAACATCCATTCTGGAGGGAAGGGCCAATAGTCACAAAGAACAGCCTCTGTGAGCTACTCTAAATTGTTCTGCTAAGTTTTAGACTTGTTTAGTGCCCTCCAATTTTACCTTCTAATGGAAATATCTACCTTGTCCCTGTTCCACTATTGTTACTTTGGAAACAGGTATCTTGGAATCTAGATTTTACAGAAAGAGAGCAATGTTTACTCAGAGCAGAACATGCCTACAGACAACCCGTATTTGACGACTTTGAGGATGATATACTCGGATGAATACGTTTTACATATGGAAAATACACTAATTGGGGGTGAGGCAAAAGGTGGTATTTTACTCATTGAACTGTGTATCCCCCAAATGTGTTCTAAATCCTAATGTGTTTAATGCCTGGGTCAAAATCCCATTTCGGAATAGGTGGTCTTTGTTGTTAATGAAATAGGGTTAGCGTAGGGTGTATGTTGCGTCAATCTGTTTTGACATAGGAGAGAGATTAAACAGGCAAGCTGAGGTAAGAAACAAAGAGGAGGAAAGCGAGAAGCCGTATCACATGAAACCCGCTCCGAAGCAGAAGTTCAGAGTGATAGGCATGTTTCCAGAGCCACGGAGAAAGCCTTTCTCTAAAGTGGGCACACCCTGGACTCGAAGCCTGCGAAAGAAATTTGGTCCTTGAAGTCATCCACCTGTGGTCCTTCTGTCATAGCAGTGTTAGAGAGGCACTACTTAGAATAAAGGTGGGCCACGGGACATATAAAATATGGAAACCAAATTATATTTCTCTAAGCTTTGTGCTTTGGAACAATGACCCTTTTCTGTTGTACTCAGTGAGACGCAGTGACTAGAAACTATAAAGTGAAAACAACCACCACCATCCCACTGGGACTCAATGCTTAAGATGTCTTCTGCAGAATTTGTATGCATCAGGAAGAAGTCTAATCGATACCCAATATATATACAGTTTTGAATTCTTATTCTAAAAAACACTAAATAAAAGTTTGCCACTCAATTATATTGCATTTCTACACTATATTCCTACCAGCAATATATCCAGTTCCCATTGTTCCACCATCCTTACTGGCATTTAGCAATCTTTTAAAATTTGACCTTGTAGGTGATATAAAGTAGCATCTCGCTATAGTTTAAATTTGTGTTTTCCTGATAAATAAAGGTATTAAGGGTGTCTTTTTGAGTTCACTGGCTATTTATATAAATTATTTTATAAAATATCTGTTTAGTTTGTTTTGTTATTTTAAAAGCTGGGCTGTCTTACTGAGTTATATGAGAACTTTACCCTACAATTACTTTCATTTTCTTATTGTTGTCTTTTAGAAAACAGAAGTCTAATTTTTTTCCTTTTCTGTATTCTAAGAAATCTGCCTACTCAAAGGTGTAAATGGATGTCTAATGTTTTCTTCTAGAAAGGTTACAATTTGGGATTTTTGCACTTAGGTCTCTCAGCCTATAGTTAATTGTTCTCTAAGTTGTTGGAGAAGGGTCAATGTTCATATTCAATAGGATAACCCATTGTTGCAAAAACAATTTGTTAAAGAGTTTTATTTTCTCAATGAACTTCATGCTTCTCCCGCCAAAAACCGTGTGTGTGTGTGTGTGTGTGTGTGTGTGTGTGTGTGTGTGTGTGCTGGGCAAGGGAGACCAGGGAGTTTCCGTTGCCATACACATGTTAGAATTAGCTGGTCGATTTTAATCAGAGAAGTCTGCTGAGATTCAACTGATTGGGATTGCACTAACTCTACCAACATGTGTAGAGAAGAATGACATTTTATGCAATCTCTGCCCTATAGTCTCTCTCTCATTGCTCACAGCAAGTTTTCAGTGTGAAGATCTTCTACAGCTTCTGTAAATTTAATAAGTATTTTGGTGTTTGATGCTATTATAAATGGAGTTTTTGTGACTGCATTTTAAAAATTTTTGCTACTCGTTTATAAGAAATACAATTTAAATTGTTATATACCCTGTGTTCAGCAACCTTGCAAAATCCAGTTATTAGTTTTAGTAACTGTTTTGTAGATATCTGAGGATTTTTCTTTTTAATAAATCATTTTATTGGGGGCCCTACAGCTCTTATAACAATCCATACATCAATCGTGTCAAGCACATTTGTACATATGTTGCCATCATTATTTCTAAAGCACTTTCTACTTGAACCCTTGGTATCAGCTTCCCTTTTTCCCCCTCCCACCTTTGGGAACCCTTGAAAATGTATAAATTATTTTTATTTTCATATTTTACACTATCTGCTGTCTCCCTTCACCCAAGTTCTGTTGTACCCCTTGGGGGTACTTTGATCATTGCAATCGGTTTTCCCTTTCTCCCCCTTCGCCCCCCACCTTCCCCCTACCCTCATGGTACCACTACTCTCAATGTTGGTCCTGAGAGGCTTATCTGTCCTGGATTCTGTGTGTTGAGAACCCTTATCTGTACCAATATGCATGCTCCGGTCTGGCCAGATTTGTAAGATAGAACTGGGGTCATGATAGTGGGGTGCAGGAAGCATTAAAGAACTGGAGGAATATTGTATGCTTCATCCGTGCTATACTGCACCCTGGCTGGCTCGTGCCTTCCTTGTGACCATTCTGTGAGGGGATGTCCAATTGTCTACAGATGAGCTTTGGGTCTCCAGTCCAACCCTCCTCATTTGCATCAAGAGTTGTTTGTTTTGGGCTTCTGATACCTGATCCCTTCAACACCTTGTGATCACACAGGTTGGTGTGTTTCTTTCATGTGAGTTTGGTGCTTCCCTGCTAGATGGCTACTTGTTTAACTTTGAGACCCCAGACACTAAATCTCTTAATAGCAGGGCACCATCAGCTTTCTTCACCACATAAGCTTATGCACCCATTTTATCTTCAGCAATTGTGTCGGGAAGGTGAGCGTCACACAATGCCAGGTTATTGGAACAAAGTGTTCTGTGTTGAAGGAGGACTTGAGTACGAGGCCCAATGTCCATATGCTACCTTAATGTTTAATCTATAAATATATGTACATAGACCTATCTTTATATATTAATATATTTACATATGTACATGCCTATGTTTATACCTCTATATCTTTTACCTCCTAGTTTTTTCCTCTATTTCCTTTTACTTGAGGATTTTTTATATAAAAAATTAATGTCATCTGCAATTAGAAATTTTTACTTCTACCCTTCTGATCTTTATGCCTCGTACTTCATTGTACTCTTTTCTGCCTCCTACAATGAATGCTTTGTTATTTGTTCTAAACTGATATATGTGCAGAAAAATTTCAATAACCAAGACCAACATGTTTTGTTAAAAGAAGTTATTGGCCAAAAGAAACATTATCAAAAATATCAGTATTTTTTTTATATAAATAGGAGAAACTTTATAATCCATTGATCCTCCTGATCTTTCATTCCCTCCTGTTTAACAACAGTTATCATTTCCTGAGGACTAATTGAATTCTCACCATATCACCTTGAGTAAGGAATTAAGTCTATCCCCACTTTCACAAGAGGAAATTAGGAGATGAACAGAGTGAAATTAACAATGGTTACCCAGATGAAGTAAGTGGCAGAACCAGGAAAAGAACTCACACATGAACCCATAACTACACAATGTGACATATCCATCTTTACCACTGGCCCACTGTGATGGTTAGTGATTATGTTAACTAGACACTCTGGGTAAGGGGAGGAGTGGAGCCCAATCAGGTCGCAGCCTGCTGACACCTCCTTAGGAGTATAGCTTTTTGTATGAGAAAGAAACTGTGTTGAGAATAATTATCTTTGGCCCTTCACCTTTTGCTGGGCCTGGATATAGCCTCTGGTTCTTCCAACTCCTATTGCATCATCTGCTGACACCTAGAGCCATCAGTGGATTGCTGACAGTGGGCTCATTCAGCCAACCAACTTCAGATTCATTTACCTATGCATTCACAAGCCTGTGCTCCACACTACCTCTGCATCATCATCCTGCTTGCTACCTGTTCATCAGCTTCCATGAAGCATGGGAAGACTGAATTGAACCAGACTGGACTTACCTATTTCTACAATGTGTAAAGCACCTCTTGATATAAATTTCTTTCTATACAAGCATCACTGGTTTTGCTTCTCTGGAGAACCCAACCTAACACACCCACATAAAGCTGTGCCCTAGCCACACAAAATAGAGAGTTTTTATCTTACCATAATATGTATCTTTTGTACCTTAATATTTATCTTGTTCCAAAAAGAACTTTGTTGCTGCGGTGTACCATCAGTCCATTCCAACTCACAGCAAAACTACAGAGTACAGCTGTCCCCATAAGGTTCCTAGACCGTTACCTTTGTATCCATGGATAAAGAAGGGGGACGGTCTTACGGCAACCTGTCAGCAGACCACCACTTAACAACTATACCACCAGGGCTCCTTAAAAAGAAATTAAAGCTACTGCTGTTGTTAAGAAGTACTGTCAAAAGTAATAAAATACTTACTGGTTTCGGCATTTTGCTTCTCTCTTCTGTTGCCTTCTTTGAGAATTCACTTTAATGAAATTTGTTGTCACCTCTGTTAAAGAAAAAAACAAAACATAATTGGTCCATAATCTTTTTACATAAGAATTTTAACTATAATTTGTATTATAAAAAACAAATTGCCACTGAGTTGATGCCAACTCATTGCGATCCTATAGGATAGGGTAGAAATGTCCCGGTTGAGTTTCTGAGACTACAACTCTTTATAGGAGTAGAAAGTCCCATCCTTTTCCCACATAAAATTTATATAGAATAAAGTATTAAAACATTTTAAAATATAGGTTTAGAGTAATATAGGGATCTCTTACATTATACTACTTTTCAAGGTACTATAATTTCCTTTAAAAAGATTTAAATCTAAGATTTAAAATATAACATATCTCAACTAAATAGTGAAAACTATATTGATTAGCTACTAAATTATAAAGTAATTAGATACCATGTAGTAAGAACACAAGATTATTTGCTAAGGGTTCAAATGCCATCTGCCTCAATTTGCATCGGGTTTGTCCTTAGACCTAGCCTGATACAGAGAGGGGCGGTGAGACAGACAGAAGGATTCAGATTCCAAAGAGCTGACCTCAGGTACACATTTCAACCTTTTTTACACTGCAAAAGATAAGAGAAGTTTCCATGAATAAAACCTATAAAAAGATGAGAAACTTTTTAAATAGTAGTTTTTCCCTTTCGAACAGTTTGAAAATTAAAATTGGGGGTGGGAGGAGATATAGCTTAATTACCTACAGCCCAAACAACTGTCATATTTCAGAACACTAGGATTTTGCACGCGATTCACTAAATGCTACTGGCCTTAACTGATACATCAGAATTGTCTTGAACACCAATGTTAAATTCTATCTTCTCCCCAAAGATAACAGAATTAAATCTTAACCCGAGTCATCATGCTGTCTTAGGCTAAGTGTTCTTAGGAGGAAAGGCCTAAGAAAAGTAAAGGATTTTCATTTAAAAATCAATCAAAACACATAAACTCCTTAATCATTATTAATTATCCAGAAGCAAGGACTAGCATTCCAATTCTACAGTAATAGTAAGTAGTACTATAGTGGGAAATGATATTTCCTTGATAATCAGTTATCAAGATTATCTGTGACAGGGAACTTTATTACAGTAAGGCCAATTAAATTAATATTCAATTAATTGTGTTACTGCTATAAAGAAAAAAACATTCTAATGCATACTTCTACATGGATGAACCATAAAACATTGTGCTCGGTGAAATAAGTCACTCACAGAACTATTATGTAATCCCACTTAAAGGAAACATATAGAATAAAAAAGAAAAAAAAGAAAGAAAACAAAACACAGCCATCAATTCTATTCCAACTCTTAGCTACCCTATAGGACAAGATGTAACTGCTCCCTTGGCCTTTAGAGACTAATCATTACCGAAGTAGAAAGCCTCATCTTTCTCTCGCAGACTAGCTGGTGGTTTCAAACTGGTGACCTTGCAATTAACAAATGACACCACCAGGACTTCAGGGCTTGCTTTAAACCACCCCCCAGGCAAACCAGTCTTACACATTATTTATAAGCTAATAAACTACAAATCTCTATTTCCAGGCTTGCTGGCCCAAGCATAATCAAAATCCCTTCTCCATCACCAAATCAGCTTCTTGCTGTTTTTAAATTTATAAATTTCTAGAAAAGTCCAATTTATAATATCTCCAACTTAATGGTATAGTCATTCATAATTCACTCATAGCTTAACATCTGTAACATCTGAAGTTATGTCTCACCCCTTTCGTAAACCTAATACTGTGCAGTTCATTTTTGTCTTCAGTTATTCTTGGCTAATCTTGCCAAAGGTTCATCTATTTTATTTGACCTGTGTCTTTTTTTTTTTTAACATTTTATTAGGGGCTCATACAACTGTCATCCCAATCCATACACACATCATTGTGTAAAGCGCATTTGTACATCGTTTCTCAAAACATTTTCTCTCCACTCAAACCCCCGACATTAGGTCCTCATTTTTCCCCTCCCTCCCCGCTCCCCCCTCCCTCATGAGCCCTTGATAGTTTATAAATGGATATTTTGTCATATCTTGCCCTGTCCGACGTCTCCCCTCTCCCACTTTTCTGTTGTCCGTCCCCCAGGGAGGAGGTCACATATAGTCCCTTGTAATCGGTTCCCTCCTTCCTACCCACTCTCCCTCCACCCTCCCTGTTTCGCCACTAACACCACTGGTCCTGTAGGGCTCATCCGCCCTGGATGCCCTGTATTTTCAGTTCCTATCTGTACCAGTGTACCTCCTCTGTTGACCTGTGTCTTTCATTTTCTCGTTTGTTAGCTGCTGCCCTTACCCTTACTTCTCTTCACATTACATGCTTTGACTTTGCTATGCAGTCATTTTCTAATCCCTAGACCTCAAGTTTACCTTAATGAATTCCCATCTTTTTCAGTCATAAATTGTGACAAAATATAAGGCAACTCCAAATATGAAATGATCTTATGTTAAGAAAAATATTTTTGCAATAATCTTTCATCATTCAAATATGTAAATATTTAAATGTGGGTAATTTATTGAGCCAACATTTTTTGAAGACTCAACTGCTATTGAGTCTATTCCAACTCAGTGACACCGTCTGAGACTATAGATCTTTGCAGGAGCTCACAGCCCCATCTTTATCCCAAAGAGCCACCTATGTTAGCTTCCCAACCGCTAATTCCACAGCACCACCAGGGCTCATTATGACAGTTATTAAGCATACCTGAATGTTAAAATACAGTCTACTAAATATTGACTCAGAAAATTTATTGGTTTAATTTCTGATTTCATAGGATACTTTTATTCAAATTCCTCATGTATATTAGATATAAATGTCTAAGTCAAAACTTGTACCTTTTGACTCAACAATCTATCTATGTACAACACAACAAAACACTGCACAGGACTGTACCATCCTCACAATTGTTATTTTGGGGCCCACTGCTGGCATCACCATGTCAATCCATCTCGTGGACAATTTTTCCTCTTCTATGCTGATTCTTCACTTCATCAAGCATGATGCCTCTTTCTAGGGATTGACCTCTCCTGATTTCATATTCAGTGTCCGTAAGCCAGTCTCACCATCCTTGTTTCCAAGGGGCCTCGGGGCTTTACTTCTTCCAAGGCTAATATTTGTTCTTCTGGCAATCCATGGTACTTTCATTGTTCTTCACCAACACTATAATTCAAATGCCTCAATTTTTCTTTGGTCTTCCATATTCAATGTCTAAGTTTCACATGAATATGAGACTATTAACAATACCATGACATAGGTCAAGCACACTTTAGTCCTCAAAGTAACATCTTTGTTCTTCAACACTCTAAAGAGGTTTCGTGCAGCAGATGTGCTCAATGCACTATGTCGTTTGATCTCTTGGCTGCTGCTTCCATGAGTACTGATTATGGCTCCAAGCCAAATGAAGTTCTGGATTTCAATCTCTTTTTTTATTATGATGTCATCCAGTTATGAGTATTTTTGTTTATGCGAAGTTGCAATCCATCCTGAAGACTGTAGTCTTTGATTTTCATCAGCAAGTGCTTCAAGTCCTCCTTCCTTTTAGCAAGCAAGGTTATGCCATCACTGTCATCGAGGCCATTCCAACTCAGAGAAGGAATACAAGTAAGATATTTAGTTGTGTGTTTTATTAGCTGTGCCATTCATACCCAACAGCAATGGAGAAGAATGAGAATTAAAAAGAAGAATGAGAATTCTAGAACACTTCACTGTACAGAATAAGGAAATGCTGCTTGTTTTAAAATCAGGAAATATGTGCATCATAGCTGTATCCTTTCAACATGCCTATCCAATGCTAAGCAGATAATATGAGAAGCTGATTTTAGGAAGAACCCGGCATCAGAATGGGATGAAATGCAGATGACACAATCTTACTAGTGGAAAGCAACAATGAATTGAAGCACTTACTCGTGAAGAGCAAGGACTACATACAACCTTCAGTATGGATTGCAACTCAATGTCAAGAAAACCAAAATCTTTCTAACAGAAAAGATGAAGTTGTCAAAATTTCATCCCAGTGGGATCCATAATCAATGCGCATGGAAGCAGTCAATAGGTAAGAAACCAAATGGCATATTACATTGTGAAAATCTGCTGCACAAGACCTTAATTTTCAGGACTAAGATATGCCTGAGCCAAGCCACGGCATCTTCAGTTGTCTCTTATGCATGTGAAAGTTCGACACTGAACAATGCTTTTGAATTGTAGTGCTGAAGAATATTAAGAGACCATGGACTTCCAAAAGAATAAACAAATCTGTCCTGGAATACATATAGCCAGAATGCTCCTTAGAAGGAAGGATGACAAACTTTGTCTTACATACCATACATATTTGTTTACGAGCCAAGTTTTTCAGCATATTTTTTATGCCATTTTTGTGGTAAATTCGGTGCTTCCGGGGCACTGACCCACCCAAGGAGAAGGTATTGTTTATATCTCCACAGGAAAATAGGGACCAGACTTCAACCCAGTGCTCCAAGGTGTGAATGCAACATGCTGGTGTGGAGTAGGGAACCAGTGGAGAGGTCTGGGGGGCTGGCCCCAGTCCCAAATACTAAGTGGATGCCTGCCCCTCCCCCGAGAAGAAGTTATTTCAAAGGATGGCACTGAATCCGCAGCTCTGGGAGAGGGATATAGCTGATCGGAGCACACAGGAGCAGAAGACGGGGGAGGAGGAGAGACTGGAGCACATCCTGGCCCACCAGGCCTTGAGGACGATGACTCCAATTAGAGCAGCCAGTCCACAGAGAGGACCACATGGCCAGCCCCACTATGAGACATGATGCCCCTCACTGACTCATGGCCCTGCGGAGGACAACACCAGAACCGGTTTGGGAATTGCAACCGATCTGATCCCGCCACACTGAGGCAAAGCACTGGGGGAGTGCAGCGGAACAGCAAAGGAATGGAGCAGCAAGGTCACCAGGGAATGCTGAAGGTGGACTTTGGGGCCAGGGCATAGTACCACAACAGCCTGTGTGATCATAAGGTGTCGAAGGGATCGCTGAAAA